CCGACGGACTCTAATCACTAGTGATGATGTTGAGCATGACGACAATTATCAGTTGAAATGGTCAGAAAAGGAAATATACTTATTCCTAGATGTTCGGATAGTTTATTAACAATGATCCTTTGTCAAAGAAACCTATACATCATATTAAAAATGTAAAGAATTACTGAGAAATTGACAAAAAAAAAACAAAGACAATATTGAATTATCTTTCACGAAACAGAAATGTCAAGAACAGCATTTCTGGATTTAGTTATTAAAGGCGTTACTTTCCTTTATAGGTCACAAAATTTTTTTTTGCACACGTATGTTCTTTCCACTCATGCATAAATGCAGCTCAATGATCTATTAGCCTATAAATGTTCTCTATTCAAATATGTTGGTAAAATAAACAAAAAAACAATCTCTTTCAGAAAAATTAATTAACACAAACTCTTCCTCAACCTGAATTTAAGATCAAACGATTATAATTTAGCTAAAGAAATAAAAACAAACATTTTCAATATAATAAATTATTCATAAGACTCTTAAAAAAACAGCATCATATTATTTCAGCCTCAGTTTTAATACCTTCTCAACATTATCTTATTCTTGACTGTTGAGCTTGATTGGTATTTCAAATCATCACTGGCTTATCAAATATAATCATATCTGGTTTTTGTTATATTTAATTAAAAAAAAAAAAAAAGAAAAGAAAAGAAAAGAGCAGCAGCAACAAACAAAAACACGCACACACAGTAATAGCAAACAAACGAAAAAATGGGACATACATCTGTAATGAACATGGAGGGAGAAAACAATTGAATATAAAGAAAAAGAAAAAAAAAAAAGGAAACTCTGTCTTAGTTTTCATATGCATGAGTTAATGATTTATAATATGTGCCAAGACAAACGAAACCGTATAAAAACAAAAAAAAAAAGAAAAGAACAAACAAAAATTTGCTACATTAGTAGCAACAATGCATGTATATGTGTTTTTTTTTTGTCGCAACAATAAAAGAGAAAACAACAAACAATAAAGAAGTCGCATTTGCACAAGTGCAATACAACGATAATAATAATAATAACAACAGCAAAAAGTGAAATGCCTATGACACCAAAAAAAAAAAAAAAAGAAATCTTAGATTGGTATCTTAACAAACAAGCAAGAAAAAAAAGAAGGTAGTGTGTTTGTTTCTTTTTTCTATATATATATCTATATATATATACGAATCGATTCATTCACCAGGCTCTCAAACATCACACACATAAGAGAAAAAAAACAAAACAAATAACACAACTCAAACAAAACTGTTCTAGATTATGTGCGACACGCTTTTTTTTTTTTTGTTTCTAGTTGAATAATACCAGAGAAAACTCAATTGTTCGAATGATTTGTGCAACAAATAGAATTCATTATGTTAAATTTTTATTGTTTTGGAAGAGTAGGAAAATCAACGGCATTGGCAAGATCAGGTGTATTTGGATCAGCATTTGATCGATTATAACCACCACCACGTGCAGAATTTCTATATACTCGACGAAATTCTCCACGACCAGATCCTGGTCCTAATAAATTTATATTTATATATGTGCTTAGAGTATAAGAAAAAAAAAAGTAGTATCGGACGTACTTTAATTCCTTATAAAAATACTTAAAGAAACTTTTTCTCTATATGAACTTATAGTAAAAATGATGTACTATTATATCATTGTTCAATTAATATCATAATATTTAAAAATATTTTTAGAAAGGTTTTAAAAAAACGAGATTTTCAAAGTTCTCATAACATTTGAAATTTTGAGTACATCAATTTGTTTACTCTTAATTTTTCAAAAACCTTTCAAAAAAATTATGAATATTATGTTTTTTTTTGTATGGTGCAATGTCTTCAAAGTCTCCTCTTTTCAACAGTGAAAATTGCAGCTAATTGGCCGGTGACTTTTAAGTAAACCTGTATATCTGTAGTTTATTCGTATATTCTCAAGAAAGTTGAAAAAAATGAAGTTAAGTTAAATTTCTATTTTCGATGAATAAGGAAATTTTTTGCTTTTTACATTAAAGCGTTCATTTCAATGGATATTCAAGCAAGAGTTATTTATGATGAATTATTATGCTCTATTCGTGTTTCTTCTCTTAGGATAGTTGACAGATGACTTAGATAGTTTCGTGAAGGTCAATAAGAGATTAAAAACGAAGCGCATGAGCTATTTGTTTTTGTTCTGTTGCCATTATTTTTTGTATAGACAGCTACGGATTAGAGGAGAATGAGAAAATAGTTGAAGAATAATGTAATAGAGCATCGTTTTTATTATCAGCCTATATAGAAAGAAAGCTTTTTATGAGGAATTAAAATATCTTCGCTATTCCTACTGATGCATTCTAATTATTAGAAAACTACTAACTTGAACCACCATGATATGATCTTGGTTGTTCATCATTTTGATGTTCACCGGCCTGTTGAGATAATGATAATTGTTGTTGACTTGGTGACTTAGCTGAAAAGAAAAGAAAATTTTATCTATTGAAATTATATATATGTATGTATATTACATCTTCGTTGATCATCTCGATATGGTCGATCCTGATAACGACCAGTGCCACGACGTTGTCCACCTCTTGAACCACGTGAAATTTCAATTGGTTTAAAACGAAGTGGAATTGTGATAACTTTTTTCTTTCCACTAATTTGTTCTTCTTCAACTTCTTCTTCACTTTCATTTTCTAAATAATTTATTTTTTTGTTTTTTTTTTTTTTTTTTTTTTTTTTTTATCATTTAAATTTTACCTTCACCACCACTACCTTCTTCAATTTCTTCATCATTAGATTCTTCATCATCATTTTTCTTACGATATTTTTGTTCATATTTTTGCCATTCTTTTGGATCTACACCTTCATTTGCAATACGTCTATTAAATTGTGGAATTTTTTCTTGTTGAGCTTGTTTTTTAGCTACTAATTGTTTTTTATATTCATCCAATGTCATTTGTTTTTCAGCTTCATCAACTTGTTGTGCCCAACCTTTTGATGTTGCTGTTGTTGTTGTTTGTTCTGTTGTGTCAGGTATATCACTAAAAACAAAAACAAAAAAAATTTTTGTTTTCTTTTTATTTACACACATCAATAATAAGAAATCTTACGTCGGTATTTGATCATCTACAGGATTTTCAATTTGATTACCCCAATTAAATGCACCTTCACCATCTCTTTTTTCAATAGGTTTAATACCTCTATTAAAATAAAACATATTTCATAAAAAATGATTTTTATTTTTTTGAACTTACGAAACATATGAACGTGGTTGACGATCATGTTGACGACGATTATGTCGAAAAGTCTCATAACCACCTTCACCACTTTCACGTTCATAATTATTTTGACGATCATCAGCATAATTACGATTATTACGAAATACTCGAGAACGATAAGGACCACGACCACCACGTCGTACATGTTCTGGTTCCATTCGTAGTTCTTGTCCCGATACATCTGTATCTAATTCTTGACCAACAGTTTTAATTGATTGAGTAGGTGTATTGTCAAAATGTGATCTATAGAAAATATCGAAATTGATTTTTTGTTTTTTTTGTCAAATGTAAATTTAAATTTTAATATTCACATACTCAATAGTTTGTTGCATTCCACTATTTTCTTGTATTTGTTGTTCTTGTGAACCTTCTTCAAAATTTCGATTATTAAAATTACCACGTCCACCACGACCGCGACCTCGACCACCACCTCGACCTCTTTCAAAATTTCCACGTCGTGGTCCACCTCGACCACGACCACGAAAATTACCAAAAGTTTGATTATCATTTCCTTGTACATTATCCCAATTTGAACTACTTTGTTCAAAACCACTTATTTCATTTCTATTTTCTTGTGGTTCATATTTATGAAAACGTTGTGAACGTTGTTGACCATTACCACGATTACCACCTTCATATGGTGGTCGATCTTGACCAGCACTACCACCTCTTCTTGAATAACCACGACCACCTTAACAATTAAATAAATAAATGTATAAATCATAATCAAGGAAAATCTCTATTACCTCGACCACTATCAATACGTGTTTGTTGATGATTATTATCACTTAAAATATTTGATTGTTGTTGTTGTCGTCGTTGATCAGTATTTGTTGATTTAATAGTTAAATTTTCTTTATTTGTTTTTGTTACATTATTACTAATAGATCTTGTCGTTGTAGTCGTATTAGCTGTTGTTGGTGTTGGTGTTGTTGTTTTTTTTTTTATTATTGATTTAGTTTCTTTTGAAGATTTTTTTGGTTTTTCTTCTGATTGCATTTGACCAGCAATAAATTCATCAGGATCTTCATCATGATCAACTAAATCAAGGAAACGATTTCCTGTATTAATACCGTATTCAAAATCGAGCACCATGTTTTTTTAATGGAAAATATTTTGTCATAAATTCCAGGATTGCATCTAATAAAATTAAAAAAAAAAAGACAAAGGTAACTGATCAGAATCCGGTAAAATAATCATAAGAGACTTTGTTTTTTCATTTTTAAAAGCGAATAAATATAAAGTTTTTCATCAGTTCAGTTCCTTTTTTTTGTTACTTACTGTGACTAATGATGATTTGTTGGTGTAACTAAATGAGTGTGTAAATATACGATGTTACCAATTGGTAGGTTAAGAAATAGAAAAAAAAAAACGGTGAATCGGTGACCTATATGGCAAAGAAGTAAGTGTGTATCGAAAGAACGAACAAGAGAAAGAAGAGAGACAACAGAATGTGAATGTCGGAAAGAATTTCGGTGCTTAGCAAAAATCAAACTAACATCGTTAAAGAGGTCATTTAGGGTGCAAATATTTACTACGAAAAAAATCTAAATTGAATAATTTACTTTTTTATATTGAAATGATTTTTATAGTAGAAAGAAAAATTTATTAATAAAAAGTTTAATGAATTTTTCTATATGCATTGTTTTAACTGTTTTATGCATTTATATAAAATATATAATAATTATGGTTGACTATATATCCATTATTTACCATGAATTCCACAAGTAAATTATTATCTTGTTTGAATGATTAAGGAAAATATGTTTTGATGGCATTTATTATATATGAGTTGATTATTGGTGGTTTAAAGAAAATAATGTTTTATAGCTGATAGGTCTTTCTTTCTTTTTTTTTGCTTCATTCAATCAATATGTAAGTTTGTTAATTTGCTTATGATCAATCGATCGAAACTCATTATTCTTTTTTATTTCAAGCAATGTCATTCAATGCTAAGACATCTGCTACGGCAGCACCTCGTACATCACAATATGTTGGACCATATATTCTACAGAAAACATTAGGCAAAGGTCAAACAGGTATATAGACCTTTTGTTTTGATTTGTCTCATTGATTATTAAACTAATACAATTATTTTTTCTATATATAGGACTTGTCAAATTAGGTATTCATTATGTAACAGGAGAAAAAGTCGCTATTAAAATAGTCAATCGTGAAGCATTGTCAGAATCAGTTTTATTAAAAGTAAAGATACAAAAAAAACAAAATTTTTGAAATATAAAAAAAAAAATATTTAATTTGTTTTTTAAAGGTCGAACGAGAAATAGCTATTATGAAATTAATTGAACATCCACATGTATTACGTTTATATGATGTATATGAAAGTCGAAAATATTTATATCTTATTCTTGAACATGTTGCTGGTGGTGAACTTTTCGATTATCTTGTTAGAAAAAGTCGTTTAACACCAAAAGAAGCAAGAAAATTTTTTCGACAAATTATATCTGCACTTGATTTTTGTCATAGTCATATGGTTTGGTATGTAAAATCAAAAAAAAACGTGTTGTTTTCGTTTATTGTTCTTTTTTCTTTTTTGTCTTTCTAGTCATCGTGATCTGAAGTAAGAAGAAAAAACAAATCAATCAAAAAGAAATTATTTTATTGTTGCTGTTTATTTATTTTTTTTTAGACCCGAAAATTTATTACTTGATGATAAAATGAATATTCGTGTTGCAGATTTTGGTATGGCATCATTACAAGTTGAAGGTGGTTTTCTTGAAACAAGTTGTGGTTCACCACATTATGGTAAGAATAAGAAAAATTAACCAAAATAAAATTCTAAAATTATTTCTTTTTGTTCTTCAGCTTGTCCTGAAGTGATTAAAGTAAAACAAAAAAAAAAAAAAAAATAATGATAATTTATAAAATTTATATGATATTTCTTCTTCAATTAAATCTAGGGTGAAAAATATGATGGACGAAAAGCTGATGTTTGGTCATGTGGTGTTATTTTATATGCATTACTTGTGGTATGTATCAATTTAAGATGAAAAAAAAGCTTTTGTTGGTTTTCCTCTCCTAATTGTATCACAATAATGATTTTTGTATTTATCAATAGATTGTTTTTTTTATTGTATTTTATTTTGTATTAGGGTGCATTACCATTTGATGATGATAATCTTCGACAATTACTTGAAAAAGTGAAGAAAGGTATTTTTCATATTCCACATTTTGTACCTGCGGATTGTCAACAATTATTACGTGGAATGATTGAAGTTGATCCAAATAAACGATTAACGGTAAATTTTAATAAATTTTCAAATTTCATTTTTGTAATTTTGCACTCATGCTTTTTGCTGACTACATAATATGTATTTCGTTGTCTTATTTCTTTTTTTTTTTTTGTTTTTCAAAATAACAAAAATTTCTTTTTACGTTACTATGCTTATTCCAGTTAGAAGATGTCAGTCGACATCCATGGGTAACACAGTACGTAAACGGCGTATATACGCCATTATTATTGTATATCTCTGTCGTCAGTTCATTCAAGTGATGTATTAAATCAAAAGAATGTTAATAGAAATCATCATCATCATTCATCTTCATCATAGATGTTCGTTTTTTTTTTTTTTGTTGCTTTTTTATTAGAAAGAACATAAATCTGCATGTTTCATTGTTCTGTTCTATATAGTAGTTTTAATGAAACTGATAATTATTGTTATATTATTTCTTTTTTTTTTTTTTTTTATTCAGAGGTTCAAAAACTGAACTTGAACTTGAATTACCAATGGTACAAGTTATTCAAGTATGTACAAAAAAAAAGAAAAGAAATTTTTGAAATTAAATTTTTGGTATTTTTTTTGTAGACAACAATCATTCCAAAAGAAGAAGATGTTGATGCAGATGTATTTGGAGCTATGGCATCACTTGGTTGTTTTAAAGATCGACAACGTTTAATTGAAGCATTATTAAATTCCAAGTAAATATAAAAATAGAAAAAAAATATTTAATAAATTGTTTTCTTTTTGTAGACATAATACAGAAAAAGTTATTTATTTTCTTTTACTTGATCGTAAATTACGACAACCAAGTCATGAAGATCCTGATGAAACAAAACAACGAAGTCGTTCTGGTTCACGTTAGGATAAAAAAAAAGAAATAAAGAAAGAATTTTTGTATTTTTGTATTTTGTAGCGGATATTCCACAAAAACGTATTGATCGTCAACGTTCAAATGGTGTAACTATTGGACAAAGTTCTAATTCTATTGTACATCGATCCGGTATGATTGGACAATTAACTGAAGGTTCACCATTAGTATCACGACGACAACTCTGTTCAAATATAAGGTAAAGAATGATTTCTTTTTTTTTTGTTGTTTTTTCGTATATTCAGTTAAAGATCCAATAAAAAAAAAATTTTTCTTTTTTTTTGTTTTTTAGTAATAAAACAATTTCAGCTAATAATACACCATCTGTTAGTCCATCTTCATCACCAACAATAGCAAAAAAAGATGTTTTTTCTAAAATAACTGCATTTACAACTGGTAAAAATCCTATTGAATCATCTATTCAAACTCCACCAACAATACAACATCATATACATCGTCATCATCGTAATACATCAACAGTTTCACAAAATGATAATATTCTTACAACACAACCATCAACACAATCGATTGTATCAAATTATATTAATGAACAAACATATAAAGATTCGAATGTAATTAATAATGGTACAACAGTACGACGAAATCAACAACAACAAATACTTTCAACAACATCTGAATCAATGAATACGGAATTATCATCATCATCATCATCATCAAATAATAATAATAATAATAATAATAATAATAATAATTCTAATACAATTATTCCATCATCATCAAATAGTAATCAATGGAAACATAAATTAACTAATTTAAAACAAAGTTTTCAAAATGTTGGTACACCAAGATTTCATCGACGACCAAAAATTTTATGTAAATTAATCAGTTTCTTTTGTTTTTCTTCAAAATTCTTCTTTTTCTTTTTTTTTTTTTTTGTAGTAGCTGAAAGTGATAGTTCAACACCAACAAGTTCACCATCACAATATGGTACAACACCTGAAGCAACAAAAAAATCTTTATTTCATCATATTATTGATGCTATGCAAGAAGATCATCATATGATTGTTGTTAAAGATCGACCATTATCAACAATTAAAACTGATCTTATTCATGCATTTTTATCTGTATGTGTAAAATATTAAATTTTCATATTTTTACTGAAATTCTTTTATTTTTATTTTTAAAGACTCCTGATCTTGTGCATAATGTTTTATCAAGTACACAATATCGATGTGAATATCGACGACCTGATCGTTCATCTATGTTTCAACGTAATATACGTTTTCATGTTGAAATTTGTACAGTTAAATCTAATGATTTATCATTACCTGATACTTATTATGTTACATTTACTCTTATAACTGGTAAGAAAACAAAATCTAAATATTAGATTATTGATTTTGTTGTTTTCTTTTAAAGGACAAGCTCGACGTTTTAAAAAGTTATGTGAAGAAATTCAAACACTTTTTTTAACAAATAAAGATCGTTTAATTAAACAACGACAACAAACAAATGAAAATAGTTTAATTAATACAAATAATATTTCAACAACAACAACAACAACTACAAATCGTACAAATATACCATTTATTTCATCATTATTTGCTAATACAAATTCTTCATGTAAGAAACAAAATTTTTTGTCTTATAAACATTTCCCATGATAATTTTTCTTTTTCTTTTTTTTTTTCTTATCGGTGATTTTTATCTTGTTCTCTAGAGAACAAAACATTAATTGCTATTCGACATATGATGATCACTAGAGATTAACATATTCCGAGATAAATAATAGAAATTTTTTTATTTAGATGTTAAACAAAATATTTCTCAACAACAACAACAACAACGACAACAACAGCAACAGTCATCTTCGTCAGCATCATCGCTTTCATCAACATCGAATATAGCTTTCACTAATTCTCCACTACCAACTACTGATGAGTCTTCTACTATTGAGTCTATTCGTTTAAAGCTTGCTCATCGTCTTGCAATTTAGTTATTGTTTTTTTTTATGCTGCTTATTGTTGTGTGTAGCGTTTTTTTCTTTCTTTTTCTTTTTCATATAAACTGTTCTCATTCCGTGAACATCTACTATGAGTCTCTTTGATACAGTGCAGATTGAAAATAATCTCATTTATTATTGATCGTTCTATTCTAGTCAAAAGACAATAAGAAAAAATAATAAAAAATTAGTTTATTTCGTGATTAGAATAAAATTTTAAGCGATTATATACATCGCTCGTCTTCCGTCTCTTTGTCGGAATCATTTTACGCAAATTCGTTCTTAATCTTTATATATATATATGTATCTATATAGATTAAAATAAAACGTTTTGTTTTCTTTTTTCCTATTTCAAAAAACGTCCATTTTTATTTTATTGTTTTGTGTTTTGTCATCCTTCTATTATGGTGTATTTATTTATATTATATATTTGTATTTATGTGTGTGTGTGTGTGTGTGTGTACATGTCTATGTTGGACGACAACTGTGTATGAATTGTAATTTTATCAACACACCTTCAAAATGTTTTTCTTTCACTTGTGTCTTATTAATAAAGAGAATATAATGAAAAATAAAAGCATTTTAAAAGTAAACTTACTGATATAAAATATTCCATAAAAATTTGAAAAACATACTTTGATTATAAAAACTTTTTCTACATATCAAGTATATATTATAAAATGAATTGATTTTTATTCATGCAGAACTTTAATATTATCATTAACAAAGATAAGATGAATAAGTAAATCTCAAATTGTTAATCGCTTCGTTGATATTGACATTTATCTTCTAATTATCTTTTTCTCAATAAATATCTTAATCATTTTTCATTGATATTGACAATATTCAAGAAAAATCTAGTTGATTAATTTTTTTAATATGATATGATTTTCCAAAAAAAAATGTTAATACATAATATGAAAATTTTTTTATCGTGATAACTTGACATTATCATTATATAGAAAATCTTATATTAAAATGAATGTTCAATGTACGTGTCTACATATATATGTTTTAACAGGAACTAATAAAAAAAAAAAACTATATATAATTATATATGTCAGTTGTCATAACTATTTATTTTGAGATAAATTTAGGATTATATGATAGATTTGACAATATAATTTCAAAATGAATAAGATTGGGATGTATGATATTTATAATTAGTAGAAGCAAAATTAGTCATTTGAATGTATAAATAATCGAAAAAAATAGTAAGATAGAAATGACATTGATTAATTTGTAGACTTAAGATGGATAAAAACAAAAATAGAATGAGAAAAAGACTATCTTATCTTTCGGAAAAAAACAACAGATAAATAGGATTTGATAATAATTATTAGATGCATTCTTTTTTAATATATTTATAATAAATCTTTCCAAGACAATGAATAAATTTATCAATTGAGGATCAATTATAAAAATCAGTTTTAACTCAACTTTGATGTTTTTCAATTAATAAGAAAACGAATATATAGTATCGATTATTTGAATCATATCAAATGTGTTGAGAGTATGAAGAAATGATTGATTATAATAATTACATAGTAGACTTTTATGTTATTGATAAAAATAAATATCAAGTATTTGTTAATGTATATATATTTGTATTTGTTGAATAGAGATATTCTATGAGATTTAGTTATGATCTTCTTATTTATAAAATTTCAATTGATTGATAACTCTTTTGACATGTTAAAAATCATATAGATAAATATTGAAACGAAAACATTCTTTTTTTTTTATAATCTGTTGTCATTATTAAATGATAATTAAGATAGATTGATGATATTAGTTTGAATTCAATTCAAATGATGATTATTATTATGTGTATTACACACTGTAATTTTACTATAGATAATTAAAGGGTGATTTGATTACAAACTAATTCAAAAACAAATATTATCATAAATACATATATGTGTTTTTTTTTTCATAGAATTACAAGTGTAAATTTATTTCCTAAATTAAAAATATAAAAATGAAATGATTAATTTTTTTTTTAGGATCCTACTGTTAATAAATACTGAGTATATTCATCTTCTCTAAATAATAATTAACACTCTTGTGTATCATGTTCTGTGATGTGAATACAAGATTAAGACTTTTTTTTTATCATTCCTTTCTTCTTTTTATGAGCTATGAAATTAACACTTTCTATTCATTCGAAATCAAAAAAAAAAACCAAAATATCATCATATACCATCTCATTTACAATAGAAAAACAGTTTCAATAAAATAAGTATATAGCAAATACTTAATATTTTATAATAAGCATGAATAACAACATATATTCAGCACATCGAAATAGATATCAATAGTTAATTCAAATTATACTTTATCCTTATCAACAATTTTGAAAATATTGATCCATTGATTTGCTTGAACTTATTGCCAATATTTTAAAACTCTTTTCTATCAACAGTGAGAAAGCATATGTATGTGCATGTGAGCGACGATAGCGCATGCGAAGCAGCAAAAAACATAATCAGAGAGAGAGAGAGAGAGACAAAGAGCGTCCGAGCGAGTGAAAGAGCAGTGCACAAAAAAAAAACGAAAAGGTAGACAGAGGAGTTAGTATTTTTTTTTTCTGTGCTATTCAAGCTGATGGTGATGATTCGAAAGCAAAATAAAAAACATGCGACGAAAAAGGCGCTAAAATGATCATATGAAACAAAGAAGAAAGCAGCATTAGCGAGCGTCGAAAAAAAAAATAAGGAACATGCGTTATACATTTAATTGTCTAATCGAAGTAGACATTGAAAAAAAGAAAACAAACAAACAAAATTTAGAGCCATGCTTTTATAAAGAAAATGAAAAGGGAATATCGAATTTCACTTATTTATTTATTTTTTCCTACTCACGAGAAAAAAAAAACGAGAAGAGACACAATAAATTATTTGTTTTTTTTTTCTTTTTTTTTTTTTTGTTTCTGCGGACTGATGAACACAAATGAAAAAAAAAAAACGATGAAATTATCGCGTGCACGAAATAAAAAGAAACTGGAATAGCACCAGTAACAAAACAAATAAGAAATAAAAATACATTGACCAACGAATTCATTTAGCACGCTCGCTTTATGTTTGTGTGTGTGTGTATATGTTTTTTTTTTTGTTTCAGATCAGCGAAAAAAAAAAAGAGAGAATATTGCAAAAATTGTAGAAAACAACAACAAAAAAACAACAACGAAAATTTCAGAACACTGTTCGCATGACAGAGTATTTCTTTTTTTTTTGATCTTCTAGATTTTGTTTCGGAGATAGCGGACATCATCACTATTGCACCACGGAAATAATAGAGATTGCTGGGAGGAAAAGAAGTATTTAACAATAACACATAAATAAAAATGACACGAAAACTCGATAGTGACTTCTCGTCTTTACTCTATTCGATCGGTCATAGCTACTACTGTTCAGTCTACAAAGCAAAAGGGAGAGAAGACGGAATGTGTAGCTGAGAAAGACGATTGACTAGGACCAATCTTATGTGTACTGCATCAAGAAAAAAAGAGAGAGTGAGTAGTAAGAAAAATTATAAAAAAAAAAAAGAAAACAATACACCGGAAATCTTCCTTTTCTCTTGTTCGATTATTGTTTCTCACTCTATAAGTATATATATATATATATATATATATATATATATGTATATTTTTTGCTGCTTCCTGTACATGCGCATGCGAATTAGTCTTTAACTCTCATCTGTTACGAATATAAAGAAGTAATAAAAAGAAAAGAAGAAATTATTCTTATTTTTTTCGAAGTAGAAGAAGATGATGATGACAAATAGAAAAAAAAACGAAAAAAAAAAGAACAGATATAACTGCTGATTATAAGTCTCTTAGTTATTTTTTTTTTTTTTTGTTTTGCTCATACACATATGAATATTTCTATGTGTATGTACTGTAAGAACTTTTCATCACAAACTTGAAACAACGGACGAACGAACAAACAAAGAAGAAAAAAAAAATAGAAATCATAAACATCAAGAATAGCAAGTGAGAAAAAAAGAAAGAAAAAAAGATACATGTTTTATGTGTTGTATATGTAAAGAAGAAAGACCAAAATGTGTTTATGTATATATATATATGTAGCAAAAAAAACCTACGTACTTGTCGTAAGAAGATATAGATAGAGAGAAAGAAAGATGAAGAATGAAAAAAGATGGCTAATATGGGCGAGTTGTTGTTATGATAGAGCTGGTAATGTTCGAATGCCAACTTTTATTGTAATTGAAATAAAGAATTTGCCGTTGAAGTTCTTCACTACATATATGATAAATTTACATTTGTTTTTAAAATAATTGCCCAATATAGCTTCTTTACAAATAGACACATAATCATTATTAACTTCCACAAAATCTTAATTAAGAAACGAATATATTACAAGTAGAAAAAAAAAACACAAACATTATTCTTAATCATTTATATTACCTTCAATTAGATGAACATATTTGCATTGTGGTTGAGTACAACGCCATGATTTAAAGTCTTGGCAAATGGGAAGTATATCCAGTAACTATAATATTAAAAAACAAAAATATTTAATTATTAATCAATCTTTTATATTTCTTTTTTGAATTCAAATAAAAACAGTAGAAATAAAATTTTGTGTGTGAGTATCATGCAGTATTCACTAGATAAGCACACACAAAAAACAAAAACTACTATGAGAAAAGTTAAATAGAGTGCATGCAAAAAAATAAAAAACACACAAAAGAAGAATATGACAAGAGGAAAAACATTTTCTTGATTGTGTCATAATTGTGAAAATAACTATTTAATCCCAACATATAATACTCACTTTTCATTTGAGGTTGAGCTGAATATATCGAATGAATTGAGAAAAAAAGAAGAAAGCAAAGAATAAAAAAAAAAAGAAAAACTTGAACATATATGCAAAAACAACAATCATTTCTATTTTAACATATATGCATAATCTTGCATTGAACAAATCAGTTTCTTTTTTCTATAAACATCTCACTTGTCCTTTTTTGTC